ACACGCCCAACTAAAACAACAACAAAAAATGACACAAAATTACCTTTAAGAGACACATGATGAATTTATAGAGACACAAAACAATCTCAAAGAGACACATAATGACGACAAAGTGACATGAAACAACTAGAAGGACACATAATGACAACAAAGACATACATAATGACTGCAAAGCAACAGAAAGCAACCACAAAGAGACAGAAAATAATTACAAAGCAACACAAAAGGACCACCAGGAGTCACAAAACAAGCACAAGGAGACATAGAATGAGTACAAAGCGACACAAAAAGACCACAAAGACACACACACAACAACTGAAAAGAAACACAAAAGAACTGAAAAGAGACATAAAAGGACGACCAGGAAATACAAACCAACGGCAAGAAGACACAAAATGATTACAAAGAGATACAAAACAACCACAAAGAGACACAAAATGACCACAAAGAGAAACAAAACAACCGCAAAGAGGCACAAAATGACCACAAAGAGAAACAAAACAACCGCAAAGAAACACAAAAGGACCACAAAGAGGAACAAAACAACCGCAAAGAAACACAAAAGGACCACAAAGAGGAACAAACCAAGCGCAAAGAGACACAAAAGGACCACAAAGAGGAGCAAAACAACCGCAAAGAAACACAAAAGGACCACAAAGAGAAACAAAACAACCGCAAACACAAAAGGACCACAAAGAGGAGCAAAACAACCGCAAAGAAACACAAAAGGACCACAAAGAGAAACAAAACAACTGCAAAGAGGCACGAAAGGACCACAAAGAGGAATAAAACAACTGCAAGGAGACACAAAAGGACCACAAAGAGGAGCAAAACAACCGCAAAGAAACACAAAAGGACCACAAAGAGGAACAAAACAACCGCAAGGAGACACAAAAGGACCACAAAGAGGAACAAGACAACCGCAAAGAGACACAAAGGACCACACAGAGAAATGAAACAACCATAAAGAGGAACAAAACAACCAGAAAGAGACACAAAAGGACCACAAAGAGACAAAAAAAGTACTACAAAGCGACACAAATGACCACAAAGAGACACAAAACCATATGGAGACTGTTGGGAATAGAATGATGTTATGTGTTTTACTATAAGTTGTGTTTCACTATATAAGTTTTAGATGTGTGAACAATGAGAATACTGAGATGATTTCAGCTGATCTGAATGTGTTTGCTTTGCAGAAGTGGAGAAGTACAGGAGAGGAAGAGACATGAAGTCTGAGGAGCACATACCGCAATGCTTAGATAATTAGTTTCATATATGGTAAAAAGAATAGAAAGTGAT